CGTCTAGATTGCCACTGACGCTTTTCTGCAAAAAGTGCTTTTGCGGAAAAGCGTCCGTGCCAATCTAGACGCTCTTTTCCGCAAATGCTTTTAACGGAAAACTTTTCCGTTAAAAGCATTTCCAGAAAATCATGCCAGTCTAGACATAGCCGGAGTGTTGTAGTGGGGAACAACCTTGACACCATCACTGGAGATTTTTAAAGAGAAGATTACACAGTCATCTGTCAGGGATGGCCTAGATCAGGGCTACTCAACTTTGGTAGCCCTGAGGGCCACAACGATACTCACAGCACATGCCCAGGGCTGCAACTTAAATGTGGTTGCATAGACATGCAAATAGCTTCTTTCACACTGATGGGCATGAATACAAAGATTAAAGCCTTAAGCCACGGTGCCAGACCCAAACATGGCCGGTGGGAGCCTGTCAGCACCTCTCATGCTCTGCTCACAAGGCTAAGCAGCCAGCACTTCCTACAACCAGGCACCTCTTCCCTGTGTGCTAGAAATGCTGACACCCTGTACCTGTCTGTTCCAGCTGGCCCTGTCTGCTTGCATCTTTCAGTGCTCACCCCGCCTGGGAGACGCCTCGCCTTCGTGAAGCGTGTTCCCAGTGGAGCTCATGTTCAAAGGATCCCACCCACAGGCCGCGTGTTGAGTAGCCCTGGTTTAGGTGGTGCTTGGTCCTCCCATGACGGGAGGGAATTGGACTTGATGACCTCTCAAGGTCCCATCCAGTTCTATGATTCTTTGGTTAGATACAGCTCATAGCAAATGCCATTTATTAAACAGCAATAAATGTAAGAAAATAAGGAAAAACGAGAAAGGTTAAAAGAAAACACACAGCCCTGCTCTGTGGCCGGGGGACATCACACCCATCCAGCTCTGAAATGTTCAGGAAGTTCACAGTCTGTTCCTCACATGTCCCAGGTCTCCTTCCCAGTCCGCAGCTATACTGTGGGTCAGACAACTGCTCTGGCAGTGGCCATAGGCCTTCAGGCTGTAAGTGGTAGGAACCTTTTTCCCAGTGTCAGCTGCCCCCCACTGGGGTAATGATCCCCTCCAAGTGTGGCCTGCCAGGCTGCTGAAC